GCAGGAATAGATGCTAACACGGAACTTATATGTATAGGCAGGCTTTATATTTTCTCATCCTCTGCTATGATTTATCTCCAGCACCTCTCAGGCTACAGCTCCAATGAAAGCCACTATGCAGATAAAAGCTGCATTGTACATTCAATCTACAGCAGTCTATTCTTTTCCATTTTGATTTGTGAAAGTGTCAAAAAAAATGAAAGGGAAGAAAAATGGCTTGGAGAAATCATGCTGTCTCACAAGGACGAGGACAGAGAGTAAATTCCCAGCTTTTACCAGTCTGAGGTACCTTACCAAAGACAAATGTATAAATCCTTTGTGCTTGTACTAAAAATCTATGGATGAAGAAAGTAATAACAAAGGAAGGTCACAACATAAAATCAGGAAACCTATAGGCAGTGTAATCCATTAAATTTATTAGCTTCATTTTCTTTTCAAGCAATTGTGTTTTTCATCCCCAGAACAATTACTACTATAAACAGCAAGCCTGTGGGTAATTCTTTCTATGGGAGGCTGGGAGGAGTAAATGAAGAGTGGAAGAGTTAAATCTTTCAGTCCTTATATTCCAGTAAATTTTCATTTATATTATTAGGAGTTCTTCCTGCCTGCAGGCTTCAGGCTCTAGCCCTAAGAGGAAGTGGGGGAAGATCGCAGATGAATCCTCCAGTCAAACTATTAGCAGCATAATGTACAACAGATGCCAGTTTACAGCAAGTAATAGCACATTTGACCTACTTACAGTAGATCCGCTTTAGTTACCAAGGTGAAAATGGTTCTGGCTCAATAGCCCATCAGTTGGTCCTCTCTCATTTTTTTTAGCAGTCTTTGGGTATAGTTTCCCAATGTGTTCTTTACAGCCTAGATAAGTGTGTGCAAACAGATGCTTGCACAAGGGTTACCCACTCCCTAGTACCATCCTTCCACCAGTTTACACATTGAAATACAGCGGTGAAGGCACTCCAGAGCATCCCCTGCTGCCACTCTCAAGCACGCTAGAGCTAAGAGATCTCCACAATAGCTGATAGGGGGAGGAGAAGGGGAGCAGGGCCTAAGGATAGTTTCACCAATGCATTTCTGGGTTTGGCACATGTAAATTGGAAAAGATTCGCAGGGTCTCTCAACAGTAGGCACCTTTCACAGAGCCCAGGACACTGTGTAGACATGCCCACAATGCCTTGGGAATGGAGCACAAGGGAAAGGGTTTCAGAACATAATTTGGCAGGTGACTTGTGAATCTGTGGCCCACAGTATATTTCTTCTAAGAAGTAACACACACACAATAAATCAGTAAAGATGACAACATCTAAAATCCCTTATCAGTCACAGAGCACACATTAGGTTTAAAAAAAAAAAAGATGATCACATATATCTTAAAGCAAAATAGAATATAACCAGCTCTATCTTTTTAGGTCCTGTCAACACTGGGCTGGGAGCTGTTTGTTGAATATGCTTCCCGGTATAATTTTTAAATGGGTTTTAAGGCAAAATGGTTTGATCAGGTCTGCCCATGTTGAAATTTACTTCAGAAGTTACATTTTAAACTACATTTTTATTCAAGATAAAACTGTATTTCACTTTAGCAATACTTAGGGTCAGATTTTTAAAGGTATTTGTGTGTCTAAACATGCAGGTAGATGCCTAGTCGATTTTTCAGTCATTCCAGACCTGGGCTGTACAGCACTGGAGCATGGAAAGTATATTCTAACCTTAAAGCTGCACTCTAGTTTACTCTATGCCAATGGACTCTAGTTTAGGAATATGTCCTACTTGATAGGGCTGTCATAAAAAAGGAGGAAAGCACCTATTCTCTTTTGCTTCAGAGAGGACGTGGAACAATGGCTAGAAGTTGCAGCAAAGCACGTTTAGGTTGGATATCCAGATAAACTTCTTCACTGTTAGAACAGTGAGGCAGTGGAATAGACTTCCTAGGGAAGTTGTGGACTCTCCATCACAGGACAGGTTCAAGAAGAGGTTGGACAGCCACTGGTTGGGGATCATCTAGGCATAGCTTTGCCTATTTTCTACCATAGGTATTTGCTATGCTTCTGGGCTTAATTGGTTGCCCCTGCCTCCCCTCCCCTTTTTTCTGCTATATGTGTCAGGGTTTTTTTAAGCCTTCCCAGAGGCATTGGGTGTTAGCTACATCCAGGACCATCCCTAGTGGGGGTGAATCAGGGTGAATGCCCTGGGCCCTGCACTTTGGGGAGCCCCGTGGAGCCGGGTGGAGCAGCAGCACGGAGCTGGGCAGAGCAGTGGCTCAACATCCAGCCGCTTGCTACCCCCGCCCCACCGCCACCGCCAGCAGTGGCAGCTTCTTCGGGGCTGGGATTGGAGTGGGGGTGGGGCTCCTCATGGGCTGATTTGCCCCACGCCCCATACCCTGTTTGGGTTACCTCTGGCTACATCCAAGGCTGAGGACTTTGACTAAGGTGTACCAGTGATCCTGCTGGGAGCAAAGCCAGAGGGTCCTGGCTAGAGGATCTTGCCCCTCTGCTCAGGGTCAGACCAATCACCATATTTTGGGTCAAGAAGAAAGTTTACATCCTGGTAAGATTGGTATGGACTGTCACGGGTTTTGCCTTTCTCTGTAGTGGGTGGTGTGGATTTCTATGTGGGATCTCTTGAGCTTATATTGACGACACTTTATAGAAGCTGGACACTGGCTGCTGTGGTTCCCTTGCTTTACCTGTGGCAGGTTAGGGTGCTATGTCTATGTAATTCAGGAATTAACTTCTGTCCTAGGAAGCAGGTGTTAGCAAGGAATGATGGAAAGAATGAGCTAGTCAAAGTCTGAAACTGTTTCCTAGTCTCAAATATTCTAGCCAAGTGTAGTTTTAAAGCACTGTTTTAGTCTTGTAAGTAGCTTACTATGGTAAAGTAGCCTCTACTATTTTGGGAAATTTAAGGAACCACTCACATGTTCCAAACCCAGAAATACACTCGGTGCTGAGGCCACTTTAGGGCACAGCTCTACAGCTTGTTCTCACCTCAGTCTCTATTGTACTTGAGAAAAATGATTTGAATGGCCTCACTGCTGTGTTTCTACAGGGCTCCATGAAGCTGTGGTACAAACATAACACAGCATGCAAGTTGGAACAGTGATACTTCTACCACATGAGCAGTCAATCAATGAGCTGTTTTGTGAATTACAAAACTGCTGAAATCAAATTAAGCTCAACTGAACCACTTGTCCTCTGTGGGGGAACTTTTACAAAGTGAGGACACACATGTGTGGTGAGCACCTAGACCAGAGAATCATACAGAAGTAGGGCTGGAAGGGACCTCCAGAGGTCATCTAGTCCAACCCCCTGCCTGAGACAGGATCATCTCTATCCAAACCATCCTATGCAACCCATAATCTAGACTATACATGAGATTACCATCAACCCTGGCACAACCCAGACCTAACAACCAAGCTGGCCACAGGTAAAGCAGTGGAACCAAGGCAGCCATCCTCCTGCTTCTATGAAATGTTGTCAATATACACTCAAGAGATCCTGGGTAGAGGGCCATGTCCCCCCACACCCCCACAGTCCATACCAATC